AAAAAAAAAAAAAAAAAAAAGAAAGAAGGCTTCCTAGACTTCAGAATAAAGAATGTTACCAGGGATAAAGGGGATCATTACGCAATAATAAAGGTGACAATTCACCAAGAAAAAAAAAAAAAAAGAAACACTGATACAGGGAAATTCCCCAAATTGAAGGCCAAGAGATAACAGAAACTTAGAAGAATGGCAGATGTTATATCCGTAGAGTCTGAGATTAAAAAGAAAGGAATTTTCACATAACTGTGGAGTAATGCCACAATCTGGAAGTGGCAATGAGGAAACATAGAGATGCTTTGCAGACAGGGCTTGAGAAAGTGAGCAGCCTCCACACAGATGGCTGTAGGGAAGCTGCATCTTGGGACAGGGCCAGGTTTCTGCTGAAGTAAAACATCACAGTGTGTGTTTTGTAAAGATTGAATACATGGGCATGATTATTTACAGTGGAATGAGTTTTCAACAGATCTAGTAATGACTAAATCCAAATGGTTGTCATATTTCATAAATATTGCATTCACTGAAATATTACTATTAAACAACCAGGTGGCTGCTGAAATTCATCAGAGGCTTATGGAAGAAGAAAAAGAAAACCACCCCAAAGAAAAATCTCCTCAGATGGGCGCAAATAAAAAAGCCAAAAAGGAACCACCTAAGCAAAAAAAGGCAGACAAAAAACCCAAAGGTAATTAGGGTTTTAGCACCCAGAACCCTGGATGCTTAAATCTCTCCTTGGTAGAACAAGCATTTAACCAGACACATTAGCTTCTAAGCCACTAAAATACTGTTCATTAGGTTTAAACTAGACATCCAGGCTTCTGTAAACTGTGGTGTTAGTTGGAAAATTGTATTGCACACCAGTTCCACCTAATTTGTTTATCCAAATAGCCAGATGTACCCAGGATAAAGTAAACCTCAAAGACCTTTTTGAACATATTAAAAGAACTCCCAAGATGGTCCTGTGTCATCTGAAAAGTCTGTTAAAAGGGCTGACACTAGCTGTAGTAACAAAGAGAAGTTTAAGAGCTATATGTATATGTAAGTTTCAGGGGCACTTTAATTCAACAAGTCCTTCTCTCCTGGAGGCCTCCGACTGAAATCTCTGTGTCAGAAGCAGGATAAAATACAAAGAGGAAAGAAAACTCAATTTGGAAGAGGCCTTTAATTAACCTTATGGATGGCTCTGGCAAAAACATTACCGTCCCCTCTGAATGTTTCCAGTTGTACATTTTGAGGTAACTTGAGGCAAAAGAGGAGGATTGGGAAGCACATGATCAAAAGTTGCTCCACTCTGGATTGCTCCAACGTCTGTTAGGTACCTGCTGTGTGAAACGCTCCGCCATGGGTGCCAAAATCACAATAGTAAATCAAAAATGAAAACAAAAATCACAACCATGGTTCCTGCCCTGATGAAGCTATAATCTACAAGTAGAAACAACATTTGACCAAGCATTGTTCTTTGATAGAGGAGGTACAGTACCTTGAGAACAAGGTCGCCTCACTGCATTTCAGGGGATAGGGGACACTTCCCGGATGGAGAACATGTAAGCAGACATGGGTAGGAGTTAAGGGAAAGTACTAAGGATGGATAAGGGGGAGAGTCTATGGAACTTACAGGAAAGGGAAGAGTCATGTCTCCATAAAGAACACACCACTTTAGCCCATCTCGGATGGTAAAAATAAAAGAAATATGCAACATTTAAAGGAAACACTTCCATTTACTTTAATGGAATAACAATTTGAGTCCAATCCCTTAATTTTACAGAGGATAAAACAGAAATCCAGAGAGATTACTCTCTCCTTCATCTGTAAGTTATATATACAGCTGTTATTGCAATGAACACATCTTATTATAATTTCATTATTTACATTTACGTCTTCTTCACAAGATTCGAAACCCTTGAGGTCAGGCCCTCAAGAAAGGTTTGTTGAACTGAATAGAATTGTATAAACTGGGCCTGCAACTAAAATCACACTGCCATACCCCATGGGTAAATCCTTACTCAAGTACTGACAAATCTTATTTTCTAATTCTCTTATGTAATCATCGATATAGTTAAGTGTGAATTAAAAGATAATTAAGTAGGTTACAGATTCTTGACCATCACCTACATTTCAGCCATCTCTTTTTGAAGTTATTCTCTGGTCTCTTCTTGGTGAAGAACTGGAAAACACTTTGCTAATACAAGCTATCCCTCATGGAGTGGCACTTCTGCTGATGTCTAATGGCATCTATAATATGTTGGGGTTTGCTAATTTCTGTGCCCAAACTCTGGATTTCATTGTGTTTGGAGTCTGTAACCATCTCTGCACTTGCTACAACCTCATTTTTCACAATACCACACAAATGGGGTATTTTTATGAGTCTAGCCGAGACACTACACAGAGAATTCTCAAGGAAGAACTATCAATATTCCATCACTCATACCAAGAAGACCGAGTGTCTCATTTCCAAATCACTAGAGGTTTTTAGCTCTGCAGATTTTGCTTTGTACTCATTTTTGTCCAAGTCCCGTGTGCATACACTTGTATGTTGGTAGTTTACTCACCATGCTTCATTGTTCTTTCAGGTAAATCACCACCTACGGCAGAAGCTGATCCTGCGATAGTACCAGCAGAGGAAATCGCCGAAGTTGAAAAGAAAAAAGAACTGAGGCTCAAAATAAAAGAAGAACATCTTTCTGCCCTGCAATTTGAAGGTAGCAATTAGAAATGACTAAGAAGATGCTTTTTAGTAGAAAGTAGACCCATAGGCAGAAAGTCCACAACTGGCCCATCAATTGCCTCAGACTGTCTGTAAGAACATACAGCAAACCGATTGAAAAGCACAACATTCAACTGGCTGTTTTCATTTGACCACATGAGGACTAGATTTTACTGTTGGATGAGTCAGATGTTTTGGATCACCTAATCAGTCTTAATTGTGAGATCTAAAAAGAAACAAAAAGAATTTGGGAAGGGGTAAGAAGAGCAACAGCAGTAATTAAAATCACAAAAAATAGAAATGTATATGTTTGAAAGTTGGTGTGATTTTATATTAAAATAAGAACCATTTAGGCCTCTCATTAGGAAAATAAATCCTTACTAAAGGCTAACAGGCCCTAAAAGTGAGTTCTTGAAAGCAGAGGCCATAGAAGAGTCAGTCATGTATCTATGATGTTCAAGGGCCTTCTTCTTTCTAGACAGCAGTGACTCTGCAATACGTGTTCTTCTTATAGTTCTTCTAATTGCCTTATGATACAACTCAAAATTAAATTTGAAAACATCAGAAAACTGAGCAAACATATCCTATGGGGAAGAACCATGGTAAACATACTAGATGATAAAACCATAAACATGCAGCATGGCATAAGCTGAGACACAGTTAACCACTCAATGACCATTAACTACTAAGGATGCTTTCCATCCCTTGCTTCTCTCCTTTTCTTCCCCCTCCCCCAATCCTGCTACCACCTGCTTCTGTAATCCCAACAGTAATGCCTGAAGGAAGTTGAACACAGGGACACCTATGGCATCAGGACAGTCAGGACATGTGCTTTTCCCCTATTGCCTGTCCCCTGTCTGATTTCAGTGGTTTTCAGCATACTGTCTTTCAGTTCATTCACTCATATAATAAATGTTTATCGAGTTTTTACTAGGTGCCTAGTCCTGTGATAGTTGCTCACACATATATGTACAAATATGTATATATATATATATAAAGAAACCAAATCTAGAGAAAGAGAAATACAAATAATCACTTATACTATGTTGCGATGCTGGCAATAGGCATAGGGGACAAAGGGGACACGGGGGGAGGCAGAAAAGACTTAGCAGTGGATCTAATGGTTGAGCTGAACTGGAAGAATGTGGAGAAGTTTTCCCAAGGGACAAATTGGGGCAGGAATGGAGAGAAGCATGTGCCACACAAAGAGGGGGGAGGAGCATATTTGGTGGCCTGTGCAGAGCAGCTCAGGAGTATGAGGCATGTTCTGGGAAGGAATGACTTGGAAGATGGGGAGGCTACACCATGGAGGGTCATATAGGCCCTGCCAAGAAAGTTAGATTTTTCCCTTATGGCAACTGGGAACTAGTGGAAAATTCTGAGAGAAGAATGCAGGTGAGACAGATTACTCTGGATAGTGTGGAGGTGGATTTGGATTTGAGGTGGGGAAAGAAAGTCAGAAAAAGCAGGGTTGAGGCTATTGCAACAGTTTAGGTGAGAGACAATCAGTGTCGAAACTGGGACAGTGGTAATGGAAAAAGCAAAGAAGAGAGACTGGAAAGATATTTTGGAGGTAAAAAGTGCCAGGAACAACAATAGGCCTAGGGACACATAGGTTTTGCCCATTTTAGCAGTGCTGAGAAATACAATGACATCGCCACCCCAAGGTTCTAAAGTAGGGAGATGAGCAAGAGGCTTTGTCCCTCCCTCCCTTTCTGAATTTCAGAAAATATCTGTGTGTTTTCACACGTCATTTATCAAAAAGTATATTGCTATAAAGTACAATAAATGTAAAGCTCAATTATAATTGTGGTTTAGATAATTTTTCAAGTGACTCTATCACATGTTACATTTCTTTTCTTAATGAGATGGATAAGACATTACTTTACCCATATTGATATATATTAAACATACACCTAGGGCCAGGCGTGGTGGCTAATGCCTGTAATCCTAGCACTCTGGGAGGCTGAGGCAGGAGGATTGCTTGAGCTCAGGAGTTCGAGACCAGCCTGAGCAAGAGCGAGACCCCGTCTCTACTTAAAATAGAAAGAAATTGGCCAAACAACTAAAAATAGAAAAAATTAGCCGGGCATGGTGGCACATGCCTGTAGTCCCAGCTTCCCTGGGAGGCTGAGGCAGGAGGATTGCTTGAGCCCAGGAGTTTGAGGTTGCTGTGAGGTAGGCTGACACCACGGCACTCTAGCCCGGGCAACAGAATGAGACTCTGTTTCAAAAAAAAAAAAAAAAAAAAAAATACACCTAAAGCTTCACAAATTAAAGCACGAGTGGTTTAAATGTGAATCTATTCATTAGAAAAGTCATGTACATATACATTAAAGAATCCCTATTTCTCTTTTTAGAGAAAGCCACACAGTTTCGGCTTGAACTGATAAAGGCAAAAGCATTGGCTGTCCTTGAAGATTTAGTAACAAAGGTGGTCAATGTATACAAACTCTTGGAAAAATGGCTTGGTGAAAGATATTTGAATGAAATGTCCAGGTAAAGTACTGCATGGCTTTCTAAAAATACACTTTGTTAATTCTTGAGTGCCAACATTGACAAAGATTTTCAAGGTGTTTACAAATTTAAATTACATTTACAAATATAAAGTTTTGACCTTTTAAGAAATCACATGTATAAACACATAAAGTTAGCTTTACTGTCACATTCGTATGGACTCTTCAAATAGTAAATCATGTATCAAAGGGTTCTGTTGCAAGATCCAGTTTTGTACATAATTTATGAGTTGAGTTTTCACACTGCTTAATGAGAACCTTAGTTTACAAGGTAAGATTGCAAGTAATTTTGAAATGTTTTTCAGAAGCAAAATAATGCTCCAGATCTTTCTAATGCCAGACTTATTATTAGTTAGAGCCAATTAATGGGAGATTAAAAAGTCATTCACTGGAATGTTTTACTGGTTAGGCTGATTCCCCTGTAAAGACAATACCCAGTTCTACTTTTCTGTTGATTTCCAAAGGTTTTCCAGATTCTCATTGCTAGTGAAAGGCAGTGAGTCTCATCCTCTTAGTTTTCCCCTACAAGGAGAAAAAAGGCAGCTCAGCAAAATGGAAATAGTCCTCGTCTGAGAGTCAGGAGACATGATAGTCCAAACCAGGAATCCCACGTTGTCCACAAATTAGTAGCATGCTTGATTGCTTTGGGCCTCATTGGCTTCATCTATACAAGGAAACACTCCAGCCAGACTATTTCAGAGATTTCTACTAGATCTACATTCTATGATTTGTAGAATGTATATCTACATTCTACAGTTTGCAATAAACATCTACTGAAAATTTAGAAGTTGCCAAGTAAATACGATTCAAATGGCAGGTATTCTCAGAAGCAACGACTGTCATCTAAAAACAGTTGTTATAGTTTGTTTTCTCTGGTCTTTGTCTTATAATGAAAGTTCCTTTTGTAAAATCTTCAGCCTGGTTGTTTAGAATTATTACTCCATGGTTAAAAATAAATAAATAAATAAATAAAAATACAAACAGAAACATATCTCAGTCAGGTAACCTTACCTCAGTAATGCTTAAAATAATTTTACTACTGGATAACTCTTCAGCATCACAGAGCAATGATATTCAGTTCTGCTCTCTGCCCGTCGCTTACGAATGAAAGCATATCTTCTTCATTCCTAGGATTCATGGCTCCCATCCATGTGGCCATCAAGTGTAAATGCATATTATTTTTATCAGATGTACTCGTATTTCTCAGATTTATATTGTGTATACATCTATGCCCTCTAAAGCTCAGATGCTGTCACGAGTTTTGACCACAGAAGTCAAAACCTAGAAATGTGATACTGGAGCGGGAAAGGAAAAGAACAATTAGATCCCTTTCAGCTTCAAATCCTGCTTTTTATTTTTCTGGCATTTTTTCCTCCCATTCTTGTGAGGGTTACTCTTAGTAACGTTCCACTAGGTGGCGCGAATCTGTTTTGATATCCTGGTTAAGGCTGGGTCTCAGTCTGTGTCTCTAGTCCTTCCTAACACATAAACTCAGTAGCTATCCAGTGCCCTTCTCCTTGGTCCCCCAGCACCCAAAAACCCTAAAGCATAAACTAATTGGCTAATACATACTGTGTGGACACTCACAAAGACAGAATTCTGGGGTTGAATTCAAGGATGTCTTTTGAAAAGACAGCAACTAATAGTATTTTCAAATTTTTCAGTATACAATATATTTGAGGTGTCTGAGTTACATACAAGTAGATTAAGTATGAATTTTCCTGTGATGTTCAATCTTTCTTTGTAGGATATAAACAATATCCTTTCTTTAATATGGCAATAATATACTTACTCATATATAAACCGTCTCTGGCCTTTAAAATGACCTTTAATTAGGCCATTAACTATGAATATATCCCCAGCAAAGTTTAAATCCATGCCTCATTTGATTTCAGATTAACAACCATAACGTAGAGAGCAACATGTTATTGGCTCCATTGCAAAGATAGGGAAATTCAGAGAGCTTAGGCGACTTACCCTAGGACCTGTGGCTAAAGAATGCCCTAGAATAAGAGCTCCGCTCCTGGTACTCTCTCCACTGCACTGTAGTGGTTTCTAATTGTTGTTGCTTGTAGCCACGTGATCTAGCTAGGAATTGCTATTGTTGGCAAAGAAAGCAAAGCAATTTCAACGGATTATATGCATCAGAGGCTATCCTGACAACTGTGTCTTAGATAACATAAAGTTAGAGAAAAGCACTCTATAACAGAAATGCATTATCACATTTGATTCGCTGTTAATTCATCCTGATTCCAAATAAATGTATTATTCTAACAATCATATTTTGCAGGATATTATGCCATATATTCTTATTCTGGTTCATACTTAGAATGAAATATAACCCTTGACATAATCTTAGTTATATAATGAAATATGTTCTAATACTAATAAAAACCATATTTAATAGATTCTCTTTTTGTTTGATTTTGTATAAAACATGTAGCTATTAGCGGAATAATAAGCAAGTATTTTGTTTTTAATATGCATTTATTTAATACCTTGCCTTTTTACAAAACAGATTTGAGGAGAAGTCGCAATTTTTAAACATGCAAATGGAATTATCTAACTTAGCCATATAACGTGTTCACTTTTGTGCGTGTGTCTTGTAAGCAAACACTGTTAATCTAATAGTATCTTTAATAGGGTTAACTTTATTCATTTTACCATTTTCAGCATAGAAAAATTAACTGAGGTAGCTCGCTATCACATTGAAACATCTACAAAAATTCAGCATCAACTTTATTTAAGCCAAGAAGACTTCTTCATTAATGGCGATATAAAAGTCTTCCCGGATCCTCCCCCACCAATACGTCCTCCACCCGTAGAAAAGGAAGAAAATGGCACCCTGACCATTGAACAGCTTGACAATCTTCGAGATCAGTTCTTAGATATGGCACCTAAAGGTAGGAAAAATAATTATCATGAAAAGAGCACAAAAAAGGTTAAGATTAACCAGGATGGCAGTCACTTTCCCACAGATAAAATCAGTTCTATGGGATTGTGTAACACTAAAACGAGCCCTTGCTTTGTTCTAGTTTATCGAATATTTGCTTCATACAACATAGACCTTAAACAAACAAGAGAATCACAATGACTAATACTTGAGCAGTGCGTTGATCCTCATTTGTGGTAACTCTCCATTCTTGTCCTCTCTTGCTGGCAAATTGGTAAATTTGAGTATTACAACATCTGGCAGTTGACAGCCTTTGGGCATACTTCTAGTTTAGCTTTTGTGTTGGGATTATGAGTTTGTATTTCTGTCTCCCCCACTAGTCTGTGAATGGAGACCAAGGAATAGAGAATTTCTCTTTTATATTTGTTTTTCCCCCTCAATGTTTCCTAGACCATAAGCAAAACCAAATAAGCTGGTAACAAATGTTTGCTTAATTGATTGATCAGTTTGTGTACATTATGTCTGCAGATTATGTACAGATTTTTTAATTCCTTCACATTTTATCATTATAGCTCTATGGCATCTGCACAGGCTCTTCCTACTTCTAGATATTCTTCAATGAGTTCCATTAATGATAGCACAAGTTATTCGGCCAGATCATGTAGGATTATCATCTCTACTTTATAGGTCTAGACACTGAGTCGCAGAGCACTTGAGCAATTTGCCTATGGTCATACATCATCGGAACTCTGCAAATCCAAAGTTCTTGCCCTTTCTCACTGAACTAAGTTGTCTTTCGTAAACAGGTTTATTTTATCTTCCAACTATCCTACTTACTGGGAAATCATTACTTTTCCCTAGAGAACAGTCAACTTAACACAATGTCACTTTTTTTAAAAGTCCAGTATTTCCAGAAATTCACATCAAATATCATTAGTAAAAAGAGCATTACTCTACTCTTAAGTCCGAAGGATTCCTTGCCAAGCCCAACAGGTGAAATAGGTGTGTGTATGTGCGCCAAGTGAACCCTTGTGCCAGCATGTGTCAGCTCATAAAATCAGCTCGAGCAGGCTTCACACTGCCAAGGTATAAAAGCACACACTACGGCTGTGGATGGACACTGACTCTGGTTGGCAGCATATGAGCATGAAAGCAATGTGGCCATCAGCAGGTAAAAAAAAGATCAACTTTATAAAGTCAGCACATGAGATCCTTCAGCCCTGCAGTCAGCATGGTGCATCCTCTTCTCCATTTTGTGAGCTTCATGGTGCCCTTTTATTATGTACTTCCCTCTTCAAAGTAGCTTTTGCTCTTCATTTTATCCACTCTATTTTTACATATAAAATAAAAAGGTTATGTGTGAAAAGATTCTAAACATGAAATATGATTTGCTTTAATCTTACAGTGTGGTGACTGGGAGTAAATCACTCAATTAGTAGATAAAAACTAAAGCATTTAGGGACATTTGAGTAGGTGGAAGTGGATTTTGGAAAATTATCAGTTACTTATAATCCTTTTTAGAAGGGACCCTAGTATTCACAATGATAATGGTAATACCTTGTTGGATCCAACCTCAAAACTAGAGCTCACATTTCCACTAAAAGTTTAAAAATAAATAACAAATAGCAGCTATAACTTGGCATGTGTATATCTTAGAAAATTAACTCAAGAAACCCTTGGGACAAAAAGATGTCAACAGATACATTTGTCTGTTTTCAGAATATGGTAGAGTAAGATAGTTTTCAGACTATTGCAGAAATATTAATAGCAAGGGAGGGAGAAAAAAGACAGGAAGGGAGGGAGAAAAGGAGAGAAACAGTTATATTAAAAAAAAAAAACAAAAAAAAACAGAGTAAAAGAAAACCACTTGCCCCTAGGGAACTTAGAGTGTAGTTTAAAAAGGCAAGCAGAGAAGAAAATATAAACAATTATCTGGGTTTTTCTAGGACACCATATGAACATTATAAAAGTGCTCAGAATGGATACAAAGGAGAATCAGTGTGCAGTGAGGTCAGTCAGGGAAAAGTTTGTAGAGTAATACCTTGGATGGAGAAATGGAAGGTGGTAAAGAGGATACCAAGGATATCTGAAGTTGAGGGATTATCTGCTAGAAAACCTGTAGACATGAGGCATGAGTATGGGAGCATGGATGTTCGGGAAATGGTCATGGCTTCCAGGCAAATGAAAGAGGAAGTCTTCTCTAGCTGAGGAACCACCTGTCCCACCCAGGCTGGAGAATTAACCCCAATGTAAGAATCACAGTTGGAATTACCACAGAATTTACAAAGCTGTATAATACTGTAGGATTTGGTGATTTTGTTGATTCAAAATGCGTTATGGTCTATGTACCAACAGTTCAAAGCCTTTATTAGCTCGATTACAGCATTTGAAAAAATATATACTGCATAGGTTGCTTTTTATGTATATGTAAAATACTTATCACAGTGTTGGGTATTTTATCAGTAGAAGTAATGTTCATTGTTACTATTTTTGCTATATTAAAAGGAAAGGGAAAAGTAATATCATTCCGTTTTCTGCATCTCAGAGTCACAGAATTGGAGGTTCTCTACTGATACTCCTGAAGTCGGGCTGCAGATATTTTCCCTTCCTGAAGAAACCCAATCATTACCACTCACCCCCTTCTTTCCATCTGTTCTGACCCCGCAAAATATCCTCTGGCTTTAGTCTTTCTTCCTCAGTTCTGCAATTGCTGTTCACTTAAAAAACAATTGTTTAAATGATACATGCCCAGGCATATTTTGAATGAAGTCTTTTGTTGTATCCTTTTCAGGAACTGGAAATCAATCTTTTAAAATTCCTTCCATTGTCTTCACCATAGTACTCTACAATTTCAAAAGACAATCTTAGTTGAAGTGATAAAGGGTTTGAAAGTATGGAGCTACTGGCTGAATGTGGTACATTTCTAAATGTGTGATCCTGAATAACTTCCTGTTTAACCTGAAAGCTGTTGTTATTTCTAAGCCAAGAAATATGAACATTTTCTTATACTATTTCATATATGCCCATGTAACCCATGATATCTAAGATGCAACTTTCAAGTTTGCTAAAATATATTAAAACAGATGGATTTTTTCCTAGGAAAGAAGTATACATATTTGCATGTAATAGTCATGTCATTAGGCCCACAGTAAGATCTTTTAGCAAATCCATACTTTAGAATCATAGGAGCAGCTTGAGTAAGAGACAGCCGGTGAATCAGTTGAACCATTCTTTGCATTGACTGTTCTAGGAATCACTCCCATGAACATACTCCCAGTACAGAGTATGGTTTAGTGAATATTTTCTGAATTATAACTCTAGCCAATTTGGCATCGTTACTATGTGTCAGGCCCTGTGCTAGTATTTCCATATGTTAATTCACTTATTATCCACCTCAACCTATGATGGGATGGCTGGAGTCAGGCAGCTCTTTCTCAAGTTCACCTCTTACCAAATGACTGTCATATCATCTTGGGCAAGTTATTTAATTTCTCTGTGCCTTATTTTCCTCATCTGCAAAATGAGGATAATAATGACACTTATTTCATGAGGTTGTTATGAAGATTAAAATAATTAATATATGTCAAGTGCTTAGAAGGGATATAGCACATAGAAAGCATACTTCAAGGGTACTATAAGCCATTATGATTTGATTATATAATTAAATGTCATATTTGTATATAATATTATACAGTACTGACACAAACTATTCTCATTATTATCCAGAATATTATCTTAGTGTCCTGAAGGTGCAAATACCCTAATAGGCACCTGCAATATTACCCCAGAATACTTCCATAAAAAGTGTTCACCACCCGGTAGAATTAAACTGTGAAGTAATATGGCTCCCTGGGGACTACAAGCATACAAAACAAAAACCACTCATTTTGTACATTGCAGTAAGCTCTGGGCAGGTACATCTTGTCTTCAAACATCAAGTGCCAGGTACATCAGGAAGACAGCCTTTCTCCAATGGAAGCAATCTGGAGTCTATTGAAACTAGAACACTTTCGTAATGTTCCTTTGTCCCTACTTAAACCATAAGAACTCTTTTTTCTTGTAAGCCCACTGGACTCCCTGTAATGCCTATAGAGATCAGTTCACTTTTACTTTGGCTTCTGCTGAGAAGCTATTTGGAGAGAACACAGTCCAGCAAATTCTACACCCTTTTTCTTCAAAAGAGGCAGCATTTAGTTGTGCAAGGTCAGTAACATTGTTTTAAAAACTGACAAGGACCCCTCCTTTGAACCCCTCTTAGAGACCCTTCTTTAATGATTGGTCTCAGAAATAGAGGGGAAAAATTCAGAATGCTGGGCTATCATGGCTGAGCTAGATCGTGCAGCTACATGGATTTTCCAGGAGTTCTAAGGAAGGAGAGTAGCTATCGCTGCCTATGTGGGTCACCATGGGAGTTAGCCCAGAGGCTTTTGAAACTGAACCTTCCAGGAAGAGAAACAGGGGAAGGGTATTTCAGGCAAAGGGGAAAATGAGACAACTGAGGAGATTCTGAAATTGCATAACATATTCAGGGAACAGCAAACAGCTGGGACAAGGGGCAGGAGGTGAGACCACAAAGAGCTTGTGGTCAGGTTGCAAAGCCCCAGGCGGCTTGCAAAGGGCACATAAGAGAGGATTATTGAAGGCGTTTACAGCCCACTGTCATGGAGAATGGATTGGAGAGGGGAAGAGACGATGTCTGTGAGGGTAGCAGACGTTGCCAGTCTCTCTACAAAGCCTCCAGGAACCAAGAGGCAGGAAGAAGGGCACCTCGGTGGTTGCTCGAAAGGGATAACTAAAAGGTTCTGTGGATTTTTTCACGCTTAGTTTCTCAGAAGATTATAAAAATATGATATTTGCAGGTGAGTATTTTGATCTGAAAACCGCTTGAATTAGTCTAACATTTACCCAAATCAAGAAATACAGAAAGATTTCTTAGAAATGATATGATATAGAAGAATGGATGCTATTAATAGAACTATCACACCAGGTGGCAAACCCCAGAGATCACAG